TGCTGCACTAAACAATCCAATGCTTTCAACTGTGGAGTGGGGACTGTTGTGTGGCACCAGCAGGAGTAGGTAGGGCTGGACACAGTGTGTCTCCCAGCTGCTCTGTGCAGAGTTTGCTCCTCTTCTCCCTGGCTGGGTCTTCCTGCCCTCAAATCCACTGGATGGAGAGCTCACCCCCCCCCCCCCACTTCTCTTCCCCCTCCCAGAATACTCTAATTTTGATGCCTCAGCTCATGGCCACCAGGAATAGCAGTGGCTGGCTTGGGAAGGCCACAGGAAACCAGCGGAGGAAATTCTGCTTTGAGCAGCATTTGTCCCAGGCAAAAGCACCCAGCTGGGCTCAGCCTTTGGAAACAGTTTGCGGCAAAGCCATCGCTAAGGAGACTGTGGCTTGGACTGCTCTGAATAGCCGTAAAGAAAACAAAACACGTAGCGAAGACTTCCAACCAGAGCCCAACGTGGATGTCCCCCCCCCACCCCACTTGGAAATGTCCTGGCAATGCTTCGCAGGGATGCCTCAGACGCCTGGCCACTTCGAAGTTGCAAATTGCTTTGAATAAAACAAGGAAGGGACGTTTTCTTTGAAATTGCGGGTCCGTTTCTGTCTGAGTAGGAGTGTGCAAGTTTTCAAGAACCCACAAAGCTTAAGATGAAGAGCTCTGTATAGATCTTTAAGATTATGGTTTCTGATTTGATTTCATTTTGATGTAAGCTAGGACCCATCACTCCACATTGTTATGAGTTTTTTGGGGGTGGAGATGGGGGTGTCAGTCTGCATGATGTTCTGATTCCTGTGGTTCTTGAAAAGAGGAGACTGAGAGGAGAGATTATAGCCCTCTTCAGATATCATAGAATCCTAGAGTTGGAATAGACCACAAGGGCCATCGAGTCCAACCCCCTGCCAAGCAGGAAACACCATCAGAGCACTCCTGACATATGGTTGTCAAGCCTCTGCTTAAAGACCTCCAAAGAAGGAGACTCCACCACACTCCTTGGCAGCAAATTCCACTGTCAAACAGCTCTTACTGTCAGGAAGTTCTTCCTAATGTTTAGATGGAATCTTCTTTCCTAATGTTTAGGTGGAATCTTCTCATGTCAAGTTTGTGGTCAACCAAGACTCCTAGATCCTATCTCAAGGCCTGTTACATGAAGGAGGGAGCAAGCTTGTTTTTTCCTGCTCTGGACGGTTGGACCCAAACCAATGGATTTGGGTTACAAGAAAGGAGATGATTCTCGGATCCAGCGAGGGTTAATATGTAATGGAGGATTCCATTGCTGGGCTAGTCAGTTTCCTAAGCCCTATTTGCCCCCTAAGCATTCCCTTTGTCTAGACAAAGGCTGTTGGCCAGGGAGTTGAGCACCATGATCAGCCTCCCAAAGGAAGGAGCTGGGTTGCCAGGGCTGCAGTTAACTGATGGTGGGCTAATGGGTGGGCTCACCTGCTCACCTGGCCAGGATTCTGGAAAAACAGTGTGTGAGCAAAGCTGGAAGCAGGCAGAAGCGGACAGGCAGAGACATGCTTGATTCCTGCTTGATGCAAAGGCTGTCTATGGGAGAAGATATACCTTTTGGGGGTCTCTATGCTGTGAGCCCCTCCATCCTATGCTTAGGTTGTATATTTTGTTGTTTGTTAGTCGTGTTCGACTCTCCGTGACCCCATGAACCAGAGCATGCCTTGGAAACTCTCATTCAAAGCTTCTCCTTTTTTATGTCCATGGAGTTTCTCCCCCCCCCCCATTTTTTTTATTGGTTTTCACAGAATTATAAACAAACAACAAACACATAAAACAAACAGACATAAATCATAGCCTTATTAAAAATTACACTTATTAACATTGTTAAGTGACTTCCTCGCTTCCCCTTGGTTGAATTTCAGTGCATATCCTTTTAACGGTTTTCCAAATCACAGTTCTTATAAAGTTTAACTTGAACATTAACATCCTTAGATCTTTTCATTTTGAAATTAAACATATTAATTCATCACTTAACTTATATAAAATCCTAAGCCAATTGAGTAACTGCAAGCTGTTTCCAGTTAATTTAACTTGACATATTTAACTAAGTAATCATTAAATTTAGTCCATTCTTCCTGGTACTCCTCCTCCTTCTGGTCGCGGACTCTTCTGGTTAGGTCGGCTAGCTCTGAAAAATCCATCATCTTCATCTGCCATTCTTCCATCATTGGTAATTCTTGTGTTTTCCACTTTTTAGCTAGTAAAATTTGAGCAGCAGTTATAGCATACAAAAATAATTTAACATCTTTCTTGGGCAATTCCAAACCTGTTATTCCAAGAAGAAAGGCCTCTGGTTTCTTTATAAATGTATATTTCAATATTTTTTTCAATTCATTATCAATCTTTTCCCAGAAGTCTTTCACCTTGGGACAGGTCCACCACATATGATCTTTGGATGATCAGACAGCAAGACTCTGTTGCACAGTGCACTGCATTTGAACCCCAGGAAATCTACACCCCCCATCTCTCTATCCAGGCTGGGAAGAGGCAGTCACCTGCCAAGGCTCTTCCCCTTGACAGCTGGTGCACAGCAGGGCTGGATCCGGGTGGGGGGGGGCTGGTGAGAGTCCTCAGGAGGGGCTGGGCAGAGAGGCCTGGAAGGCTGCATGTGGGGCCTGGATGGAGGCGTCTCTCTCCCCCACAACCCCGCTCACACGAGTGCTGGAAAGGAATCTCTCCCTACCACTCCCAGGTCATAAGGAAGCCAAAGGTGGGGCAAAGTCCTTCCCGGATGCAGGAGAAGCCAGGCGGTGATGAGTGGCGTGTGCACCTCAGACTGGGACCTGGATGGCTTCCAGGGATGGCATTTGCTCTGCGCAGTCACTGCTGTAGGGCCTGTGATTCTCTTTCCTCATGAAAACAACCCCCAAAGTATCCAGCTTGACTTGGTTGTTCAGTCAGAATCTCCTTTTTTGCTGTTTGAATCCATTTGTTCAGCTCCTATGTACATATGTATGTACATACAGTGGTACCTTGGTTTACGAACTTAATCTGTTTTGGAAGTCCGTTCTTAAACCAAAACCGTTCTTAACCCGAGGCTCGCTTTCCCTAATGAGGCCTCCCACTGTTAGTGCCCTTCCATCATTCGGATTCTGTTCTTAGACCAAGGTAAAGTTCTCAAACAGGAACATTACTTCAGGTTTTGAGGAGTTTGTAAACCAAATCGTTTGTAAACAGGACTGTTCTTAAACCGAGGTACCATTGTACAGAAGAATGTAAGAAGAGCCTGCTGGCTCAGGCCAGTCCAGCATCTCCTTCTCACAGTGGCCAAAGAGTTGTCCACAAGCAGAATTTGAGCTCAAGAGCAACTCTCTCCTGCCTCGGTTTTGAGCAACTGGGATTCAGAACACAAGATCCCGACCACCGACGGTGGAGGCAGAGCAGAGCAATTGCAGACAGAAGCCATTGATAGCCATCTGCTCCATAAATTGGTCTAATCTTTTATGACCACCACTGCTTCCTCCTAAGGGAGGGACTTTCACATTTTAATGGTGTGCTGGGTTAATGGTTAATGCTTTGCGTGTCTGGTGGTGCTGGGGTGTGTGTACTGGGAGAAGAGACCCCCCAGCCCCCCAGTGAGCTCACCTGCTCCTTCCATGTCTGTGGCCCCCACGTGGGCACCTCGCTTCCTGGCACAGTCACAACATACTTCCCAGAGCAATGGATACTGAGGGTGCTGCAATATATGGCCACTGCCCCACACTTCCATGTATGAAAGAGTTAAGTGGATATAAGACCTCAGGCTGCAAGGGGCTTAGTCGGGTCTCAGCAGCCTATGCGCCCTGCTTCTCAGGGAGATTTTAAAGCCTGCATCTTTGCTAACCCTAATATTGCATGATCTTTTTCGTACTATTCTTTTTAAGTCATTTGGAGCCTCTCTTTTTAGTTCTTTGTTTTACTGCCAGCGAATAGAGACATGTTTGCTGTAACTTCTGGCAACTCTGTGAGTAAAATAATGCCTTATTTGCAAAGTTAAGTGTGCGATTTATTGTAGCCTAAACGTTTGTTTAAAGGCAGGTGACGAAATCTAACCAAGTTTAAATGTGCCTGGAGCAATCGCCATTGCGCTGCTCTGCTACTGGAGAATAGGCATATCTTTTCCAACTCTCACTTTCCAACAGGGGGCGCCTCCCACTTGCATAATATTTGTGGGAGGGAGATTTCCCAAGCAGTATATCCCCCTCCCCATCTCAAGGCTGAGCTGCCAAGCTGCTGCAGAGGCGACATCTCTTCCTGCCCCCGTTCCCCTCGCCCCTGCATTTTAATCGGCTGTAGGATCGCTCAGCGCCTTACTTCAAACTATAGGGAAGGAGGACGGGGCCGTTAATCCACTGAAAGCAAGGCAGTCAACCCCCCAGGCAGAGTCTCGAAGGGACAGCGGGAGCTTTTGCTCCGCGTGGAATATGGCTCGACTCAACACTTCTCTCGTCACCCGGAGGTTGCCCTCCTGGGCTGCCCGGGCAAAGGCAGAAAGGCTTCTCCTCTCTCTGGAGGCTTTTCAAGAGATGTCACGAGGCCACCCGTCAGCCGCGATTCCTTCGTTGCTGGGGGTTGGACTAGATGGTCCTTGGGGATCCCTTCCAACCTTAGGATTCTATGATTCTGTGATTCATTGCAAGGTTTTAAAAACAGAAGTCAGGAATTCGTTAGCTGTGATTCCTGCATTAATGAAGGTGGCTGGACTAGATGGCCCTTGGGGGTCCCTTCTCACTCTGCCATTCTGTGATTCCAATACTGTACGTCTCTCCTACGGGGGAAGCGCACTTTCCGGCGCTGGGTTCTCCCTGTCGCAGCAGCGCCCCTTGCTGCTTGCGCGGGGAAGGGCAACCGCAGACTCCTCCGGGCCCCCTCCGCTCCCCTGGGATCCAGAGCCGGGCGCTCGCTCGCTCGGGGCTGGAAGAGGCACGTGAGGTCACGCACAGGACAGCTCCCTGCGGGACAGGAAGGATGCGACCCCCACAGACCCCCGACAGGCCTCGCTCCAGCCGCTCCTTAAGCACTTCCAGCAAAGGCAGCGCCTGCTCCGCTGTGGAAGCGGCTCCGACCCCAGGAAGCATCGCAATGCGCTTATAGCAGAAATCTCGGGCGCGACGGCAGGTGCAATAATGCTGCGTCCAGTTCTGTCCGCCTCGCCTCAAGAAGGATGTTGCAGCGTTGGAGAGGGTTCAGGAAAGGCAACCCAAATGACGCCCCTGTGAAGAAAGGCTGCTTTATAGCTTATAAAAGGCGAATAAGACGATAGAAGTGTATGAACTTGTGTATGGCATGGGAACGTGGAGACAGCGGAGAACTTTCCTCTCTCCTCCTCCTGGAACAAGAACTCGTGGGCATCCATTGAAGCTGAAGGCTGGAGCATTCGTGACAGATGAAAGGAAGTCCTTCTTCACGCAGGCAAACAGAGGAGGCAGCGAGGGCCACCCGCCTGGATGTGACCTGTCCCGCTCTGTCTTCTGCGTGACTGACAACCCTCCAGGGATATCGGGTGAGCCCTCTCCCGTCTCCCTGCTTCTCCACGGTAAACACACCCAATTGTTTCAGGTGTTCTCCACAGGTCACCCACCCACACCCTGGCCGACTCTTCTGGACATGCTCCAGCTTCTCAGTGGCTGGGGGTTGGACTAGATGACCCTCGGGGTCCCTTTCAACTCTTGTTGTTGTTGTTTGGTCGTTTAGTCGTGTCCGCCTCTTCGTGACCCCCTGGACCAGAGCACACCAGGCACTCCTGTCTTCCACTGCCTCCCGCAGTTTGGTCAGACTCATGTTTGTAGCTTCGAGAACACTTTCCAACCATCTCATCCTCTGTCGTCCCCTTCTCCTTACGCCCTCCATCTTTCCCAACATCAGGGTCTTTTCCAGGGAGTCTTCTCTTCTCATGAGGTGGCCAAAGTATTGGAGTCTCAGCTCCAAATTGGAGTTTCAACTCTACGAGTCTTACGGTAATTCGTCGCCCAGGTGTGGAGAATGAGAGACTGCGGAGGTGAATGTTTTAGGTGGGTCTGGCCAGCGTCGGCGGCTCATTGGCCAGAGCAGCAGCACAATGGAGCCTCCATGATCAGAGGCAGCAGGAGGCCTCCGCGTGCCAAGCCCTAGCAGAAATCAGGCAAACAGGCAGGGCGGGGAGGGCTGCCCCCGCTGGACTCCCAGAAGCAGTTGGCTGGACGGAAATGGACGGAGAGGACTCCGTGGACGGATCTCCTTGGGTCTCCCCAGGCAGAAGCATAGAATCGCAGACTTGTAGAGTGGGAAGGGTCCCGCGGGTCATCTAGTCCAGCCCCCAGCACAGAAGCCACCCAGTCGCTCCGAGGCAGCTTCGACGTGCCTTGGCTAGGGGCTTCCAGACAAGTGGCATCCAACCGCTTCGGCGTCCACTTGTCACTCACGGACCGGGAGAGGGGAAGCAGCTGGGTCCCTCCGTCCCTCGTCCCCGCTCCCCCCCCCGCAGAATCGCAGTCTCTCAGTCTCTCCCCGCCCCCGCCGTCTTGCATCCGCCCCTCTGGCCCGGCAGGAAAGGCGGGGGGCGCTAGGACCCCTCCCTCCCTCCGAGCCCCCCGCGCGGCCCCCATTGTCTCTCGCCCGACGGGCCGGGCGGCGCTAGGGCCGGGCGGCGGCGGCGGGCGCGGGCTGGCCCTTGCCATTGTCTCGGGCCGTTTGCTGCGCCGCGCTGCGCTCCTTTGCGCGCTTCTCGGCGGCGGCGGCGCGCTCCTTCCCCGGCCGGCCTCGCCCGCAGGGGCGCTTCTCCCTCCATGGCGCCGCTGCGCCTGCTCCTCCTGCCGCTCCTTTGTGCCGCCGCTGCCGCTGGCGGAGAGACGCGCGGGGCGGTGCGGAGCTGCGCGGAGAGCCGGCAGGCGCTGGCCGGGCGCGGCTTCGCCCTCGCCTCGCTGCCGCCCAGCCTCATCTCCGGTAAGCGGGCGCCCCGTCCTGGCACCGCTGGGGGCACGGGCAGCAAACTTTCCCGGGCGTCTCCAGGACGTGGATCAGGGAGAGGGGCGTCTCGCGTGGGTCCCCACCGCCCCTCTTCTCCGAGTCTCGGAAGGAAGTTGCGGGGAAGGCTCCCCCCTCGCCCGGACGAGGCGGTCGCAGAGCGAGCAGCAGGGCTCGCGCCACCCCTCCCCCCTCGCGCCCGTGGGGACTGTCCCCTGCCCCGCCATTGCCCCTTTTCTCTGGGTCTTTCGGGCAGAAGTTGCGGGGAAGCCCCCCATTTTCCCAAGTCCGACGGGACATTTTCTCCGTCTGCCCATTCAAGCCTCGTGGAGGGACGCTTCCCCGACCGAGGGACCCCTCACCGGCAGCCAACGCCCCCCGCGCCCGTTCGCTGCCTCTTCTCTGCCTCCTCAGCGCTTCAGAAGCCCCTCTCCACCTCTCCTGTCCTCTGGAAGGGCTCCCCGTGTTCTGTGGAGTTGGGGGGGCATCCCCTGTGCTAGCAAGGAGGAGCACCCCCAGCCCCCTCCATTTCTCTTAGCTTCTTTATTGTACCTCCAGACCACCTCTTTTTCTCCAGGCAAGTTCATGGTGATGCCCTTAGTTCTCTTTCTCCTCTCCGTTTTCTCCTCACAACAACCCTGTGAGGTTCGCTAGGCTGAGAGAAGGCAGTGACTGGCTCTGGAGGTCGCTGAGTGGGGAATTTGAACCCTGGTCTATCCCAGGTCCTAGATGGACACACTAACCACTAGGCCACCACTCTCTTGTGTTTATGTGGAAACTGCTCCTGGCTGCAATTTTGCCACACACTCCAAAAAACCCCACTCTCTGAGACTCCTGTGTTGCAGGGGTTGGACTAGATGACCCTCAGGATCCCCTCCGACTCTACAATGCTGGGCTGGGGAGGCTGCCACCGCCTTGGTTCCCCCATGAGGGGTGGGGAGCACTTCCCTCCAGCTGTGGGGCCAGGCAGGCTAACAGCAATCCTCTTCCCCCCTCCCAGGAGAGCACCTGCGCATCTGCCCCCAGGAGTACACCTGCTGCGCCAGCGAGACAGAGGAGCGTCTGAGTGAGCAGAGCCGGGGAGACCTCCAGGGCCTGGTGGGAGAGGCAGCCGGCTTCCTGCTCAGCACCCTAGGCTCCCGCCAGCGCCGCTTCCAAGGTGAGGTGGAGGGAGGGTTCCAGCACCTCCCTGTTCCCTTTGGGAAACCCCAGAGGCTGTGGGACCCCCAACCCACTGGAGGTCCTGAAGGGCTGGATGAAAGTTATCCCCCACTCTATGCCAGAATCTGCTCCGGATCCTTAAGACAGCGGGGGGGGGGACCTCTTGGCCAAGGGAACTCCTGGGGTGAGGTGGGGGGCCTTTTGCCCTGAGCAGCAGAGGAAGCTGGTCTGCCACCCCCAACTTGGCTTGTTGCCTCCCCACTCTCCTAGTTTCCAATTTCCACCCAACTGCACACCCGCTTTGCACCCCTAAGTTGTGCAATGGGGCACTGCAGCTTGCGGCTGCCTGGAGGCCTTTGTCCTGCACCCCAAAGGGGGGCAGTAGTGAGGGAAGCGCAATGTGCACATGCTCAGGAGAAGGCTCCTTTTCGGAGGCAGAGTTTTGGCTCAAGCCTCCTCTTCCTTTTCTTCCTCCTCTTCCTTTTCTTCCTCCTCTTCCTCCCCACATCTCCCTGCCCCCACAGACTTCTTCCGGGAGCTCCTGGCAGGGGCAGAGCAGTCCCTCCAAGCCATGTTCACCCGCTCCTATGGGCGCCTCTATGCCCAGCATGCTCGCCTCTTCCAGGGGCTCTTTGTGGAGCTGCGGCGCCACCTGCAGGGAGCACGACCTGGGCTGGATGAGGCCCTGAGCGACTTCTGGGCCCGCCTGCTGGAGCGGATGCTTCCCCTGCTCAACCCCCAGTACAGCTTCCCTGAAAGCTACCTGGAGTGTGTGGGGCACCAGGCAGAGGGGCTGCGGGCCTTTGGGGACAGCCCCCGCCAGCTCCGCGTGCAGGTGAGTCCACCCCCTGGCCCTCTTCTCCCCACCCTCCCTAGGAGGCCACAACACCCTCTTGCTTCTTCATGTGACCCATAGTGAACCCATGGAACTCCCTCCCACAGGAGTCAGGGATGTCCACTAACTTGGAGGGCTTCCAGAGAGCATTGGACAGATGCACAGAGGAGGAGAGAGCTCTCAGGGCCACTGGCCAGACCTATCCTGCTCCGCCTCCACATTTAGAGGCAGCAGGAGGGGAGAAAGGCTATTGTGCTTGGATCCTGCTGGCAGACTTCTCACGAGCATCTAGCTGGGCCCCTGGCCTGATCCAGCAGCTCTCTCCTCATGCACTTGCAAGGGATGGGCTCAGGCCACAGGGACCCCCTCTTCTCTGGGGCTCATGTCAGCCCTCAGCTGCGGGGCAAAAGGCAAAGTCGGGCTGGATGGAGTCCAGAAATGTTGACTGAGGCGTCCCTGACTTTGTGTGCAGGATCAAGAGCATAAACAGTTGGCTTCCAGCTGTGCCTGAGTTCTCCACCAACTCTGGGCGCAGATGAATTACCCATAGATCCAGCTGCCAGCCACTGACACACACACACTCATTCCTGCACAGGTGGGGCTGCCATATCTTGAAGAGCAAAAAAGAGGACAGCCTGAGTCGCTTGGGCTGGCTGTGGTGTGCAGAGCAGCCCACACCTGAGCCAAAAACAAACAAACAATCAAACAAAACCGCACAACCCAGAAATAAATAAATATCCCCCCAACCCTGAACCTTTGTTTTAAAATGTAAAAATTCCCCCAGATGGGCTTGTTGGCCCCCCAAAAGAGGACATATCTGGGATTTCATGGGCGTATGGCAACCTTAGCCCTGCATGACTGTGGGGCAGGTGGGTGGGAGGGTCGGGTGTGGGTGGGTGGTGCCGGGTTGGCCCCCAACATGTTGGCACCTGAGGCAAAACGCAAAATTGCCTCTCATCTCTTGCCCAGAGAAGGCAGGTGAGCGAAGATCTACAGCTGGAACGAGCTGGGGATGAAGATCTACATTGGGAACAAGGCAGGGGGAGAGACCAGCAGCACCTCCAATTGGCCAGGAGGCCACTGCAGCATTGGGTGGAGGGCAGAACCTGCCTCCAGGGAGTGCACCACATTCGTGGCAGCAGTGGGCCATGCGTTCCTTGGAGTCCGGATCTGATGCCCCTGTGGGTCCCGCCTCACCTTGCCTCAGGGGTGGGCCATCCTGGGCTGTGTGCATGCATGCATGTGTCCAGCTGCTCAGCTGCCCTTCCTGGCTGCTCTGTCCTGCTCCCCTGCAGGTGACTCGCGCCTTCATTGCTGCTCGGGCCTTTGTCCAGGGCCTGGCGACCGGACGAGACGTGGTGGTCCAGGCGGTCAAGGTGAGAAGCCTGACATGGGTGAGCTGCCCCCTGCCTGGGAAGAAGGTTACACTTCTGCAAGCATCTTGCTAGAGGGAAGGAGCCTAGATGGGCAGGATATTATTATTATTATTATTATTATTATTATTATTACCTGCCCCACCCAGCCATGCTCCCTATGCAGTCAGGTTTGGTCCACTGCCCCCACCTTCCCTCTCCCCACACCCCACATTGCTGCCAAAGTCCTCTCCAAAGGAGCAGCAATGTTGGGAGGATATCAGATCAGTCGCTTCTGACTTGCAAATATCTCCAGGGAAAAGGAAGGACTACTTCACACAGAACCGTTAACCTTGAGTGGGAAGGGATCCCCAAGGGCAGTGCAGGAATCCTACTCTGGCTCCACAATCGGAGGCAGTGGTGCTTCTCAATAATACCACTTGCTGGAAACTGCAAGGGGGAGAGTGGCTCTTGCGTCCGAATCCTGATTCTGGGTTTCCTGCAGGCATCTGCTTGGCCACCATGAGAACAGGCAGCTGGACCAGAAGTCCCTCTTTGGCCTGATGCAGAAGGATCTTATGATGTTCTTCTGAGGGTTTCATCTGTAGACATGAGAAAAGAGAGGCGGGTGGGGGATGTGATGGACAATGCAGAGAGCACTTTTCCTTTGCTGCCATCTCTGAGCACATGCAGAGAGTTTCCATTGCAGGTCTCCCTTGGGGGACTCTGGCTGGCCAACTGAGAGAGCAGGAGGCTGGACTGGAGGCACCACTGGCCTGATCCACACGGCTCCTGCAAACCTTGCAATTGCCCTAAGGCAGGCAACGGAAGTGGCTGGGAGAGCGATCCTGACACAGGTGGTGCTTCTGGCACCTCGGCCCTCTTTCCCTGGGAACCTGCACTGGACGGTGGGCAAAACACCTGAGCTCTGATCCCAGGGAGGGTCAAATGCCAGGCTTGCCTAATGGAGAATGCTGTGGAGGTCAATAGGCAGGGAGTTCCACAGGGTGACCTCTCTGCACCTCCTCTGTGCCTGCGGCCATCCTGGGGGAATCCTCGGGCTGCCAAATGCTCAATCTGTCCCCCCCATTTCTCCCCCCAGCTCTCTCCCAGCGGAGAGTGCCGCCGTGCCCACATGCGCCTCTCCTACTGCCCACTTTGCCGTGGGACTCCGGCCCTCAAGCCCTGCAACGGATTCTGCCTCAACGTCATGAAGGGCTGCTTTGCCAGCGCAGCGGAGCTGGACCCTGAGTGGGAGCGCTTTCTTGGTGAGCACACCCCTGGGGGAGGGGAAGAGGGCTGGGGGAAAGGCTGGCAGGGTTGGACGAGGGGAGAGCTTGCCCTCAAGTGGCATTTTAGTCAACTGCAAGGCAGCGTGGTGCAATGGGCATAGCCGAGTCTTGGGCTTCAGCTGGAGAAATCTCTAATCAGCCAGGGAGCTCCCTGGAGGCCTTGAGGGTCAGCTTGCCATATATCTAGAGGGGACTTCTTAGATTGGTAGAGCTGGAAGGGGCACCAAGGGGCATCTAGTCCAAACCCTGCTATGCGGGAACCAAAACGAATGCCAGCCTGGGTTTATTGGTAGAAAGGCAAGATGAAAGTCTGAGTCTGGTTGGCTGTTCCGCTCAGTGCAAGTAGACAGGGTCTTAGGGCGGGGGGGGGGCTCTTTCCCCTTGCCCCAACCTAGCCCCCTTGGCCCACTCCCTCTTTCTCCCTCCCAGATGCTTTGACCCAATTGGCCGAGCGCCTCGGGGGCCCCTTTAACTTCGAACTGGCGGCTGACTCCATCGGAGTGAAGATTTCGGAGGCGATCATGTTCCTGCAGGAGCACAGTGTCCAAATCTCAGCCAAGGTGTGTATGGGGGGACAGGGAGAATCTGACTCCTCTGCTCCTTATTATGCCAGCCCACCTGCAGGCAGGCTCAGGAGCACACCTGACACAAATCCAGAGTGGAGCCCCCAAGATGCTTGAATGGCGCTTCGTACGCCTCATTCCAGCATCTCCTGCAGCCAAGCAGGTACCAAACATCTTGCTCTGCTTTCCTTTGGAGCCCAACAGCAAGGCTGAGAGGGGGGTCTCTTCGTCAGGGCAGCCCAGGACTTCCAGGCACACGGCCCGGGCTTGCGCCCTGGGGAGGTCACTTCAGCACTGGCACAGTGGTTTGACTTCACCCCTGGAGATGCGCTCCATTATCTCTTGAGACAGACAGATGCCAACAACCTGCAGACAGACCAGCAGAGGTTGGGCAGGCATCTGTCAGGGATGCTTAGCTGTGATCGCTGCCTCGCAGGGGGTTGGGATAGATGATCCTGGGGGTTCTCTTCCAACCCTACAATCCTAGGATTCCCTGTCAGATGCCCATCCAACCTTTGCTTAACACCCTCTGAAGAAGGAGAGTCCACCCACCACCTCCCCAAGTAGTCCCTTCCAATGCCCCACAGCTCTTCCCCTTAGAAAGTCCTTCCTGAGGTTAAGTTACAGAATCATAGACCTGCAGAGTTGGAAGGTACCCCAAGGGATCATCTAGTCCACCCCCTGCAATGCAGAAATCTCCACTGAAGCATCCAGGACAGAGTCTGCTTCCCCTTCCTTGCCGCCTGAATCTCCTATCTGAGCTTTGGTCTCCTACCAGCTCTGGCAGCCTTTGGCCTTCATGCGGACTTGAGAGAGCAGCTCAGGGTGGGTGTTTCTGGGGTGCTTGTGGGGGTCACCTGTGCCTTCTTCCCCCCTCAGGTGTTCCAGAGCTGTGGCAGCCCCCGCCCAGCCCCCGCCCGCTCTCGCCGCTCCCCCCGGGAGGAGGCCAAGCGCCGCTTCCGCACTTACTTGCCCGAGGAGAAGCCCACAACCGCGGCAGGAACCAACCTGGACAGGCTGGTAGGTATGGTGGGGACCCCCCCCCGGCTCCACCTGAAGCTACGTCCCCCCAGAGCTCAGCCTTGAACTCGCGCCTCTTCTGCCTTGTCAGCCTTAGCCTTTTGCATTCCAGGAGATGCTGCCCTTTGGGGGGGGGGGCGCACTGTCCACCCTGGGACAACTCAGCACCACAACCCTGCATCTCCTGGTGTGTATAAGAACAAGCAGGCAGCTTGTTGCAACACTTGGGGCTTCTTAGTTTAGAGAAAGGGCAAAGAAGCCGCAGAGATAGGAGTTTATAAAATTATACAAGTCATGGAGAAAATGGATGGAGAAAAGCTTTTTCTCCCTCGCCCCTAATGCCAGAGCTTGTGGGCATCCCATGAAGGGGAATGTCAGAAGATTTGGGGCAGAGGAAAGGAAGCCCTTCTGCATTAATCTCTGGAATGGCTTCTCCCAAGAGGCTGTGATGGACGGCAACCTGGACTGCTTTAAAGGAGGATTGGACGAATTAATTCCACCCCCTTCTCCCCCCCCCAGGTGTCGGATGTGAAGGAGAAGCTGCGTCTCATGCGGCGCTTCTGGGTGCTGCTTCCCCACGCCCTCTGCAGCGACGAGAAGGTGGCAGCTGATGTCACCAACGAGGACAGCTGCTGGAACGGGCAGGCGAGGGGCAGGTGGGGTGGGGTTGGACCCCGCTAAGGGTGCAGGCAGGGAGAAAAGGCCAAGGTTGGACTCAAGGGGAGATGGGGAGCAGGGTGGCTGGATTTCCCCCCCCCCCCCGCCTTGAGGCTGGAGGGGACAGGGTGCACTTGACCCCTGAGGCTTTTGGGGATACCTTTGCAGCCAAGGCCCTGAGCATGCCTGTGAACCTGGTCAGTGGGTGGGGCAAGACTTTCCCCATGCAGAGCTCAGGGCATCTTTTCAGCCACCTTGAGAACAGAAGGCTGGACTAGATAAGCCTTTGACATGACCCAGCGGCAAGGCCTTTCTTAAATTCTTACAGATCCTCCAGGCCCAACGGCAGTCTCTCTTGATTCCTGGGTTCTTAGAAGTACCAGGCCACTGTGAAGACAGGATTGTGAACCAGATGGGCCCCTTTGGCCTGATCCAGCCACCAGGCTCTCCTTAGGTTCTTTTGGGGCTGGGTGCTCGGTGCATTGTCTGCCTAAAGGCTCTCCCCCCACACCTTTCCCTTTCCCCCCTCCCAGGTACCTCCCAGATGTGACGGGTGATGGGCTGGTGAACCAGATCAACAACCCCGAGGTGGAGGTGGACATTTCGCGCCCCGACATGCCCACGCGGCAGCACGTCCTGGCCCTACGCAGTGCCACCTCCCGCCTGGTGGGCGCCTGCAATGGGCAGGACCTCGACTTCCAGGATGCAGGTGAGGCCTACAAGCCCCTTCCGGGCACCCACTCCCCCCTCTCCTTGTTGGGAATCGGAGGAGAGACCCACACAGCAGGAGTTGCCCCCAGTTCCAGTCACCACACTGGCAGCCTAAAGTCCAGAAGATAAGGCTTCAGTAATACAGTGCACGATGCTCATAGATATACATTCCGCTTGGAGGCTTTGCAATAAATCAAAGCGCAGAGTAGCTGCAGCTTCAAACGTAACATGAACTTGGACTCACTGGCTGACCAATGAGCTGATGTGCCTTGCCTTGCCCCGGGTGCTGACAACCCACGCTACGCCACTGGATGTGCCTTGATCATTGAGGTAGACCCAGGTTTCCAAACTTGGGTCTCCAACTGGCTTTGGACTATAGTTGTTATAATCCCTGGTCACTGATCCTGCTAACTAGGGATGATGGGAGTTGTAGTCCAAAAACTGCTGGAGACCCAAGTTTTGGAAGCACTGGTGTAGACCAGTGTTTCCCAGCCATTTTCTGACCGTAGTCCCCCTCCAACCTTGTTTCCTTCCTATGCCCCCCATAGACGTAGCCAAGGGGAGACTGGGGGGGGGCAGCTGCCTCCCAATAAGAAAAAATCAACACAAACAAAAGCCTGCCCCCCCATCAAAAATCCTGGCTATGGCCATGCCTGCCCCCGTCCTACCAGTAGAAAGGTAGCTATTTAAATGTTTTGTTTGTAAATAGAACATGTTTTATTTATGATGTTTATAATTTATACAAAATAGAATCACATAAAATGATAGGAACGTAATAAAATATTGCTGGAGCAGAAAAACAGAATCATGGAGCTGGAAGGGACCCCAAGGGTCATCTAGTCCAACCCCCTGCAATGCAGGAAACTCAGCTCAAGCATCCAGGACAGATGGCCATCCAAGCTCCGCTTAGAAACCTCCAAGGAAGGAGAGTCCAAACCTCCTGAGACAGATCCATCTTCCATGTATTATAAAAAGTAAACACTTATTTGACCTCAGTTATTTGACACAAAGGGGGAAACCCACAGATACAGTCCAAAAGGCGCACAGGGTTTTCTCTATATATGGGAGAATGTTTAAAAGCAAGTGGTCCTCAATGACCTGGTGCAAAAAGATGTTGTCATCTGGAGGAGCCCTGGCTGCCTAGATAAAACACTCTAGCCTCCCACACCCTTCACTGTGGCTTTCCTCTGAGTAGACACTTAGTTATTTACCAGCTGCAAGTCAGCAGCACCAGACAAGCCCCCTTGGTTAGGTGCTGGGTGGATTTCACTGCCGACTGGCCCTGCAGCCCTTGACAACATCTGAAGGCCCTGATCCATCAGGCACTGGGGTGGATTGCACCCTGCGCCTTGCAGAGTCAGGCCCAGGCGGCCAGCGGGCCCAGCACTGGCAGCAGCAACAAGCAGCTCTGGAGCTCCCAGCCCTCCCCAGCGCCACCCCACCACCCCACTTGCCCGACCTGGGGTTCTGGATTGCAGGCTCTGCTGGTCAAAACAGGAGCCTCAGCAACTGCCCTCTCACATCAGAAACAAGCCAGGACACCCCCCCCCCAACTTGGGATGGGCTAAGAGGGTAGCCAGCCAATCAGGATTTTTTTAAAAAAAGTCCCCCCTTCACTTCTCACTTCCCTCTGTGGCCCCCTAACCTCGCGCTCTGGCCCCCCATTTACATGATTTTCACCTGTGCCCACCTTGCAATATCCTGGGGGGCTTGGGCCATATGGCTCCCAATTGGGAAACATTGATGAAGACAGCTGACTGACCTTGCACCTACAAGGGGAAAAATAAATTAAGCCCTCCAGCACTCCCCCCACAACCCCAGCTCCTAGGGAAGCCTCTGGCTCTTAAAATCACAGAACCGTGCAGTTGGAAGGGACCCCAAGGGTCATCTAGCCCAACCCCCAGCATAGCTGTCTAGCAATCAGTTGGTGGTGCTTAGACAGAAAGGGGTGGGAGCAACCTGCCCCACCCCCGTCCCTCTGTGGCAGGGGCTTCCCAGCGGGGGCTCATCCACATATCCATTTGCCCCATGGTTGTGGGAATGTCAGCTGGGTTTCCTGTGTTAGGAAAAAAATCTAGGTGCGAGGCTGCTCAGTCCCCCAGCTCATGGGGCAGAGCCCGCGGGTCCCTGCGGAATAAAGGAAGGAGTCCAGCCAACCAGAGCAAATAGCTGTAGACCAAAGTTTATTGCGCAGTAGGTTCAAAGAGCAAATTTTGGATGGGGTGACAAAGACTTTTAAAACTTTCCCACCACATCCCAGAATACAGTTCGAAGGGGAGGGCTTAACCTTGGCAAACATGTCCAGACAAGTCCTTGGTACAAGATTAGCATAAGCAGACATGGCAGGGCAAGACTCAGGTATAAGATTAGCATAGACAAATATGTCTTAACCACCCAAAAGTACAATAGAAGTTCCTTTGCATGTCTGGAGCCTGAGGCGAGTCAGGTGATGAGATTTGGCTTCCCTTGGCTAACAATGAGCCCAGCAATTGTCACCTCTGGGAACTTCCTGGAGTCCTTTTGCAAGGGGAAAATAGCTTTGGAATGGAGGGAACTGGGAAAGGAGATGATTTTATATTATTTTTAAAGCTAGGTGACCTCCCTGAGCTGTCAAGTTGGAAGGATATATTCAGGCATAATATTTGTAATATTTAACTTTAAAGATGTGTCTCCCCCCCCCCGTAATTTCCGTAACACCTGCAGATTGGCTCTTGAGAGAACGAGACCTTTCCACTCTCCCCTCTGTTTTCTCTTCCAGATGAGGACGGTGGGAGCGGCTCTGGCGCTGGGTACAGCGAGGACCGGCTGGCCTTGGGGGCTGGAGCAGGGGGGGCTGGGGGTTCCCCCGCGGGATCCCGCCCTTCTTCCGATGCCCGCCCACCTCGCAGGGAGCGGCCTGGGAAGGGCTCCTCCTCCTCCCGACAGAACCAGAGTGGGGGGCGGCCAAGCAGTGGGGCTGGGCTGCCCCCCACAGGGGCCACTTTGCAAGCCAAGGTCTTTCCCCCCCTCTTCCTGCTCCTCCTGCTGGGGGGCTGGTGACCCCCATAGTGGTTTGGCATCTCAAATGGCTGACTTCCTCTGGCATCACCCCTCCCCCAACACCACCAGGAAGGGGGGAACCTCCCTCCGCATCCAGTCAAAGGGGGGCTGGGTTGGGGCTCTCATTCTCCCCCATGCATAAACCCCCACTCACTTGTGAGGTGGGGGTTTAATTTTATGGGAATGACAAAGAGAGGCCGGGGGGGGGGAGATTGGGAGTCAAGTCTTGTAGGGTGGGCTTTTTTATTACCTGGGGAGGGAAACCAGGGTGTTTTTTAAATGGGGGCTGTAAGGAGAGGCCTAGCAATGAATTTTCACTTCTTTTCTATACCTTTGAGTTCGCCTCTCTTTTTGGTGGGTATCTAAGAGGGGGTGGGGTGGGTGAAGGGAAGGGGGGAGAGGGGGCAGACAGCTGCCCCCTATTTTCTCCCTCTCAGAGGAGGGGGCTAGCAGCTTGTAGGTGAAGAGCCCCCTCCAACTAGGGCAGGGACCAGACTTACATTTCTGCCCCCACCCCATAGGCTGTCAATCCTTCTGCGGACCTTCCAGGGCATTGGGGAGGGGGTTCCCAAAGCACTGAGAAGCCCCCTTTTTTAAGCACAAAGGGATTTGTCTTATTTTCTGGATCTGTTTTTTCTTAAATTATGGAATAATAAAATATTTAATTTATTGATGTCCTGCTTCTGCCTTGTCTCCTTGGGTTCTGGCAGCAGCCTCCTTGCCCCCCCCCCTCACTTCATGGCTTCCAGGAAGGGTCTGAGGGGAGTGGGGGGGTTGTGCTCTGCAATTCTGCCCTTCCCCTTCCTGCCCCCACCCCAAACACAGGATGGAGGGCGAGGGCTGGGTCAGATTCTGCTCTTCTTCCACCACCTTCTGGTTGTGGGAAGAGGAAGTGAGATGACGTCTCTGCTGCCGGGAAAATGGTGGGCGGCAACATGTGCCTCTGTCTCTCTTTAGGCTGCGTGAGGCAGCTGAGTGAGAAGCCTCTGCCTGCCTCATCCAGGACAGGAAGGCGTGTGGACAGACCACCGACCCCCCCCCCTGCCCTGCCCAGGGCTGCGAAGACCGTTGTGCATGGCCCTGATTCTGCCAAGCGTGAGACCAAGGTGGGCAAAGGGGCTTTGTGTGGGTCTGCAAGACTGGAAGGGGAGGGAAGCCTGGATAGAGTGTGGTGTTGATAACGCCAAGGTTGCAGGTCCGATCTCTGTATGGGGCAGTTGCAGAATCTGGCATTGCAGGGGGTTGGACTAGATGGTCCTCTGGGTCCCTTCCAACTTATGATTCTGTGAGGCTGAGCAGCTCCGGGGTGTGGCTGGAAGGGGCTCCCCCCATAAGAATGTCAGGAGAGCCTGCTGGATCAGACCAAAGGGGGGCCCCTAGCTCAGCATCCTGTTACCCCAGTGGCCAAATCCCCCTAGGAATCAAGGTAGACTGCCTCTGGATGGGGAGGTTCTGTGAGAACCAAAAAGAGCTCTACTGGATCAGGCCACAGTGGCCCAGGCATCGAGTTGGAATCATAGAATTGTGGAGGAACCCCCAAAGGTTTGGGGGGCCTCCAGGCAGTTGCATTTCCTGTGTTGTGGGGCGTTGGACTGGATGACCCTTGGGGGTCCCTTGGATGACCGTCTGCCATGGATGCTTGATTGGAGACCCCTCCCTTGCCAGGGTGAATTCCCTTCGAACTCTGCGGTTCTAGGATTCTATAGCTTTGCCATCTCCATATAGCAAAAAGCCTGGACTCTGGGGAGAAGTGGGCTTGTTTGGCAAGCGGTTCAGATGGGCTTGATTGCGGACCCTGAATTTGCTGGCATGTGGTTGAATTTGCTCCTGAAACTAATGGCAGAATTTGAGAATCTGTGACGGATTCTTTAGCTGTGATTGCAGGGGGTTGGGCTAGATGACCCTTGGGGCCCTTCCAACTTTACAAGTCTAGGGTTGTACTGTATTTTTCACCCTATAGGACGCACTCCCCCCCCCAAAAAAAAATGAAGGGGAAATGTGTGTGTGTCCTATGGGGCGAATGCAGGCTTTCACTGAAGCCTGGAGAGCGAGAGGAGTTGGTGAGCACTGACCCCTCTCGCTCTCCAGGCTTCAGGAAACTCTGCGCAAACCGCGGGAGCCCTCCCCCAGCTTGGCAGAGCCGCCTCTTATCCCGAAGCCCCGGCACGCTGGGCAGTCACGCCGTTGCTTCGGGTAGCTCCACGCAAGCCGACGGAGGGCTCCCCTGGCTTGTGCAGAGCCGCCTCTTATCCCGAAGGCCAGGCGCCCTGAGCAGTCGTGCCGGGGCTTCGGGTAGCTCTGCGCAAGCCGCGGGAGGGCTCCCACGGCTTGCGCAGAGCAGCCTGTTCTGGGGGCTGGGGTCGGGGGAAGCTCGGGCTTCCCCCAACCCAGCCCCGTGCCTAGGGGGGGGGGAATAATTTATTTCCCCCCCAAAAAACTAGGTGCGCCTTATGGGCCGGTGCGTCCTATGGGGTGCAAAATACGTAACTGGCATGGGCTCTGATATTATTTGGAGGTGCCAAATATTCCACATTGCAGTTTGTTGAGGAGGGCAGTGAGGAGTGGGAGTGAAAAGGCAGGTCCCCGCAGGAAGGCCACCTTCTCTTTGAAACACTGGTTTCAGGAGGAGAGCATCCAGGACAGAGCTGCCTCTTGCCCCCAAGTCGATGCCAAACTCTTTACCTTCCTCCAGGAGTGCCAGCCTGGCACTGAAACTTGTAGGTGCCAGGCCCCTTCAGGGGAATTTTGTGGGTGCTTTGGTCTGAGGGCCCCAGAGAGTTGTCGCCTGTGCCTTTCTCCCTGGCCTGTTCTGGAAAAGGCAATTCAGCACGAGGTGAATAACGAGGCTGGAGGCAAAGTGAAACCAAAACAAACTTAGCTTTTACTAAAGGTTTTTGCAAGGCCTTCTGCCTTGGTCAGATAATAATAATAATAATAATAATAATAATAATAATAATAATAATAATAATAATAATAATAATTTATTATTTATACCCCGCCCATCTGGCTGGGCTTCCCCAGCCACTCTGGGCGGCTTCCAAAAGAATATTAAAATACTATAATACATCAAACATTAAAAGCTTCCCGAAACAGATCACACCTGGAATGCCATACCCTCCAACATTTCACTGATGAAAATAGGGACATCACATTCCATAATGATATTTTTACTATTTATACCCCAGACATCATACTGGGTTGCCCCAGCCACTCTGGGCAGCTTCCAACATATATAAAAACATAATAAAACGTTTAATACTAAAAAAGCCCCTTCCCTATACAGGATTGCCTTCAGACAGGTTGGGGGGGGTCAGATAACTCCATACCCTCCAACTTTTCTCCAATGAAATTAAGGACATCTTAAGGAAAAGTGGGACATTCCGGGATTAAATCAGAAACTGGGAAGGATTAAATCAGGGATGTCCCTGGAAAATAGGGACACTTGGAGAGTCTGGAATACTGTGTCCAGTTCTGGGCACCACAATTTAAGAAGGATGTTGACAAGCTGGGATGTGTGCGGAGGAGGGCAGACAGGCTGATCAAGGGTCTGGAAGCAGCCTGATGAGGAATGGCTGAAGGAGCTGGGTATGTTTAGCCTGGAAAAGAGGAGACTGAGGAGATATGAGAACCACTTTCAAATATCTCAAAGGCTGCCACATGGAAGATGGAGCAAGCTTCTTTTCTGCTGCTTTGGAGGGTAAGACTCGAGGCAATGGCTTCAAGTTACAAGAAAGGGGATTTGGACTAAACATCAGGAAAAACTTTCTGACATTAAGAGCTGTTTGACAGTGAATCTGACTCCCTTGGGAGGTTGTGGATTCTCCTTCCTTGCAGGTTTTTAAGCAGAGGTTGGATCTGTCATGGATGCTTTAGCTGAGATTTCTGCATTGCAGGGAGTTGGACTAGATGACTCTCACGGTCCTTACCTGCTCTACAGTTCAAAGATTCTGTTGTGGTTATTGTGAAGCTGAATTTATTTTGGGTTGGGCGGGGTGTGTGTCTTCTTTTAAGGCAGTTTGCGAGTTTAACCCGAAAAGCAGACAACCACATCATAGGAAAATGTGTCAGCCTGAACCCGCGCTGCCTGTTTCCTTCACTCGGCTCTAAGGTGGCTTCTTCCGGCCAGGGGCGGACGAAGGCTGCATGACACCCGGGGTGGCAAACCACTATGTACAGCGCATGTGTGGCATCGTTACATACAGCACATGTGTGCGACGCTGCACATGTGCTGTACATAGCGGTTTGCCGCCGGCACCGGGATCCTCTGCTCACAGCTGCAGCTACAAACGGAGGATCCTCCACATGCGGCTGTGGCAGCGCAATGGCTGCTCACACTGCAGTGAGCCCCCGCAGGGTGCCTTCTTGTCACCCCCCCAGACATGGCACCCAGGGCGCCCCCCGTCCCCATTGTGACGCCACTGCTTCTGGCCCAACCACAGATCAGCTGTCCCCTGCATGGCCGCCTGTCTTCTGATCTCAGCTTGCTCTTCTTCCTCCACCACTATGCAATTTTTCTGATTTTTAAAAATATTTTTTTTATATAAGATATTTATTAAAGTTTTCCATTTTATACAAACAAAAAGAAAAACGTAAAAAAAAAATATTAAAAACACATACATTTCACAACTTATTTTCAATAACATATTTCCCTGACTTCCTCGTACCTCCCCTTCTTGTTTTCTAGTTCAAATTATTTGTCCAGCAAATCCTTATCTCCTAGCATTACAGCTAACACCTTATTTTCTATTCAACATATTAAATTGCTATATCTTAAACTTTACTTATAAAAAACCATTTTTTCCCATATTCTTTTACCATTACAGCTAGAAACCACTTAATTTCAATCCCACATCATTCAAGATTCATTAATATTGCAATATTTCTGTAAATAGTCCTTAAATTTCTTCCAATCTTCTTCTGCCGACTCTTCTCCCTGGTCGCAAATTCTGCCAGTCATTTCTGCCAATCCCATACAGTCAATCAACTTCGTCTGCCATTCTTCCAGAGTGGGTAGATCTTGCATCTTCCAATACTTTGTGATGAGTATTCTTGCTGCTGTTGTAGCGTACATAAAGAAAGTTCTATCCTTCTTTAACACCTGTCAGGGAATTGCCATCAGAGGCACGGGAGAAGGAGGGGGTCTCTGATTCTGCAGGGGAAGGTCCAAGCGCTAGAGGGAGACTCAGCCGGGAAGAAGGGGAAGAGAATGAGTGTAACACCAGGGATCAGGGAGAGCAACGGGACAGGGAGGTGCAGGGGCTCCAGGACTCTTCATTGGAAGTTAGCGAGGAGAGCCCCAGCACCCCACTGCCCACGCCCACCCTGCGCAGGAGACTCCCGCGCAGTGAGAGGAGGAGACGATTGGGCGTCAAACAGCTCTTATGTTGGCAACGCTTTAAGAAACGCCCACAGACAGATTCTACGAGTGACTAAGAGCAGCCACGCTAAGATGGGCTGCGTAGTCCGGAGGGTTTAACCAGGCAATCTGAGGCTCAAACGGAGCAGGATTACGCACGAGTAACTCCCAACCCCAACAGCACCGATTGGTCAACTATGCCCAGGAGAAAGGCCTCTGGTTTCTTCAGAAAGGTATATTTAAATACCTTTTTCAATTCATTATAGATAATTTCCCAGAAAGCCTTAATCCTAGGGCACGTCCACCAAAGGTGAAAGA